ATGTTTCAATATTATTATTATAAGGTGAGCTGATTAGAGCTTATATTAATAGTTATAGTGAAATGGAAATCTAGCGTCCGCCAAAACGAAACAACGGGCGCAATTCTTGTTTAAGATGTAAATTATCTTTTTTATCAGGAAGCTGGTTCTCCTGTGTATAAGAGGAACCAGATCTTCTGTCAATACAGTTGACAAAAGTTGTGAGAGCGACTTTGAGTTTGCATGCTTTGTATCAACGTTTAGTTAACTAGGAGTCCAACGGAATCAATGAATTGATGATAAAAATCTTATCCATATATACACGTTGTTGTAAATATAAATGTACGTTGTTGTAAATATAAATGTTATATATTATTCTATTTGGTTTTCAAAAATAAAATGATAACGATTAGTCCCCTGAGGATTCAACATATCAACAAAACATAGCTACAAAACATACCTACATAGTTTTACTTTTAACTGCACCGATATGTTAATATTAATGATATGTTAATATCAAATTAAGTATACAGGTTTAAAAACCGCTGTCTTAATAAGTCGGAAAATTTAAGAGCTCGAGATTAAAAATAATAGGTCAGCTATCTACACTAATGTGTATCGTGTATTTCATAAATCATACCTCTGATCCACTGAAGAAACAAATATATTATATAATATAGAGTTTGTTTAATTAATGCAGGTCTCAGCTCTCTGTAAATTACAATATCGTGTGTTATTCTATGATTCTATGTGATGCTCTCACAGTAACACAGTAATATATAATGGGTCTTATAGTACTAGTAGTATATACAGCCTGGTAGATCTATAGTCCAACTTAGAACCAGGAAATGCACCGTACCATATATGGTATAATTAGGGACTGTATACATTGTGTACACTCTATACATTTAGTGTGTAATTAGGGACTGTATATATTGTGTACACTGTATACATTTAGTGTGTAATTGACACTCGAACATTCCAGATGTTTCTATGGTAGGGTAATTGGGGCCTAGTAATCAGTTACTGGTTATATATTACTTAATAGTTAGGACCACTGTTTAATACTTGTATTGTTGGGGAAATATAACTAGATAATTGTGTGTGCGGTATTAACTCTTTGAGCTTATACAAATGTCAGACTTTGCCGATACAATGTCTAGTAAACAAGAACGTTATATTAATAACTCTAGTAAATATAGCAGAACAAGAATTTCAATAACATGTCCTCACTGCCTCACGGAAGATGAAACAATGGATCACTCCATTGGAAAGTGTCCCAAATGATCCCTTTAGCTAGAGGACAACTAGAGGACAACTAGAGGATTACTTCATCAGAGTGACAGCTGATGTAGTAGACAAATTTCCACATCCGAAGCAGACAAATTTCCACATCCGAAGTAGACAAATTTCCACATCCGAAGTAGACAAATTTCCACATCCGAAGTAGACAAATTTCCACATCCGAAGTAGACAAATTTCCACATCCAAAGTAGACAAATTTCCACATCCGAAGTAGACAAATTTCCACATCCGAAGTAGACAAATTTCCACATCCAAAGTAGACAAATTTCCACATCCGAAGCAGACAAATTTCCACATCCGAAGCTACATAAATAATTTCATCACTAGACCCAATAGTAAATACAATCCACAGCTATATTCTATCTGTATTATATATCCACTATCTCGGCGTATTAATATTATATCGAGTGAAACCAGGTTCATATCTTCATATTATCAAGTATATACCGACTAGTACCGTCCTTAAAACGAGGAAGTGAGTTCGAATTCAGCCCAAAATAGTAGTCCATAATGATTGAGACGTATATATATTATATAACATGATATTAAGCTCCAGTACTATATTAAGTTACTCTCTACAGTAAACGACCGTGGGTAGGATTTGGCCGGGGCCGGGGCCGGGAATGTCCAAATTTTGCCGGGGCCGGGAATTGGCCGTTCTGGAATTTGGCCGGGGCCGGGGCCGTGAATTTAATAAATCCACGGCCAAGTTAGAACTTTTCAGGACTTAGGATCTGAAAGTTGGCACTCTGGACATCATCCTTTCAAAATTGAAAATCCATTTTAAGATTTATATGAAAGTTTTAGGCCGATTTCGATCAAAAATTCCCGGCAAAAATTGAAAATCGGCCGGGGCCGGGAAGAAATAGCTCCCCCGGTGCCGGGATTTCACGGCGCCGGGAATCCCGGTCGATTACTGACTCTCTACTCTTTATTATGTGACAAATAACAGCCCTACCAGTGCAATGTTATGTATACACTATAAACTCCAACTACACATAATATATCACTACAAAGTATATACCCCACCCATTATCTACCTATCCGGAGGGAGGGGAGTGTAACTAGTGACACTACTGTGGTAACTAGTGTGGTAACTAGTGTGGTAACTAGTGACACTACTGTGGTAACTAGTGTGGTAACTAGTGTGGTAACTAGTGTGGTAACTAGTGTGTTAACTAGTGTGGTAACTAGTGACACTACTGTACTCAGTTCTATATCCGGAGTTTTAACACGTGTTCCGGAAACATGGTCCGGAAATTAAAGTGTTTTAACTGCCACACAATAGTTGTCAGTTATCTTTTTTAATGTAACTCTACCTACCTCCTATCCTATTCAATAACGTGCTCAATGCTCACTAAATGAGTGGACACAGGAACATTCTAGTATAATCCTAAAATTTGAGACAAATAAAACTTAAAGCTGAATTTATCAACATACTTTAGATCATTAATATGATGCAGCTTTGAAGTGAACTGCACATTCGCTATTAGCTAACAATATGTTACTTTGCTGTTGTCAATATCACACACAGCTCCCCATTAACCCTCAATATCACAGTGTTTTAAAACAGCATCAAGTCACTTACGTTACGTTTACCTTAGTAAGCAACACTTAAAAGTGGTCAGAAAACAAATGTCATTGTGCCACTAACGAGAGAGTGCTAATACTCTACTATTCCCTGCTACTAACTTGTATAATCTTTAGCACTTTAAATATCTCATCAAATATTGCTGATAAGTTTTAAAACTTGTTAAAGTAAAGAAGTCAATAGTGTACATTTGATCCGGGCCTCCATATTATGAGAGTTAATACAGTTAAAGTAGGTATAGTAGAGGTGAGTAATTTTATATGAATACTGTATATATATAATATTATACAGTATACACTCTGTGATAAGTAGTCTGTATTACAGGACAGTATACAATTAACATTATCACATGTGCACATTTGTAAAGCCAGGTGCAATGTGCATTATATATATATATATAGTACAGTATCCTGTATCCTGTATCCTGTATCCTGTATCCTGTATCCCGTATGCCGTATCCTGTATCCTGTATCCTGTATCCTGTATCCTGTATCCTGTATCCTGTATCCTGTATCCTGTATCCTGTATCCTGTATCCTGTATCCTGTATACTGTATCCTGTATCCTGTATCCTGTATCCTGTATCCTGTATCCTGTATCCTGTATCCTGTATCCTGTATCCTGTATCCTGTATCCTGTATCCTGTATCCTGTATCCTGTATCCTGTATCCTGTTAGACACACATCGTGTCGTTGTCTGAGTAAGATGAGTTATTCTAGAGAAGTCCACCGTTACATATAACACATACATGTCTACTTACACACTCTCACTGTGACTTTATTTGGACTCAAACTGAGCAGTTCTAGTAGGGAGGAACTTGTGAGCAGTTCTTATCATTTAAATAACTTTGCGGGGATTCTAGAGATTGTGAAATATAGGCAATCAGTATTTAGTAAAGTGTATTCAGAAGATAAGAAGTTCCTTATTTGAACTATTTGTTGGTTATCTTATCTTCTCTATTCCCGGGCTCTTTCGGTACTAAAGAAAGAGTTTGAAATCTCTAATCATCTCCCCCCTCTTCCTACACCACTCCCCTCTTCCTACCCCACCCCTATTCATACACCCCTCCCCTCCTCTTGCACCCCCACCCCCACCCAGGGACAAAAGGATTTCGCGATAATTTTGGCCAAAAATCGCGATACCGCGAATTTTAACAGACTATACATTAAACTATACATAAAATTTGTCGCAAATAATGGGAAAAATCGCGATTCCGTACATGCCACGATTTCCTTTTGTCCCTGCCCCCACCCCTGCCTACAAGAATAGCCATAGAGAACAAAATAAAAAACAGCGTGCACATTTGTTGGGATTTTAACTGTCATATCATTCTAATAATGATACAGCGAAACCTCTCTATACCGGGCCTCTCGGGGGACACTAATTATAGCTCGTAATTTAGGGTATTTAAGTGAATTACTTAAGTGATTTACTAGTGTTACATTGCGAGATTAGTGAACTAGTTTAGCTTCAGACGTGGAATGAGGAGTGTTGATTGTTGTATTTACAAGACAGACTGCAGATGTTTAAACTTTTGTAGTTTTCTAGCACCTTATCTGTTGCAGTATTCTGCAGTATGTTAAATACTTGTACACATACACTGACTACTGACTACTGTGAAATGTAAATTGTAAATTTGTGAATCACCTTTTTGTGTAAAGGGTAGAAAAAACGTGGTAAGATCAACTGGAATGTAAACCGGTATAAGATAGAGTTCAAGGAGTGAGTGAAATAATGAGTTCTAGGAGTGAAACGATGAGTGTAAGCATTAAGGAGTGTAAGGAGTGTAAGGAGTGTAAATAGTAAGGAGTGTAAATAGTAAGGAGTGTAAGGAATGTAAGGAGTGTAAGGAGTGTAAGGCGTGTAAGGAGTGTAATGAGTGTAAGGAGTGTAAGGAGTGTAAGGAGTGTAAAGAGTGTAAGGAGAGTAAGGAGTGTAAGGAGTGTAAGGAGTATAAGGAGTGTAAGGAGTGTAAGGAGTGTAAATAGTAAGGAGTGTAAATAGTAAGGAGAGTAAGGAGTGTAAGGAGTGTAAGGAGTGTAAGGAGTGTAAGGAGTGTAAATAGTAAGGAGTGTAAATAGTAAGGAGAGTAAGGAGTGTAAGGAGTGTAAGGAGTGTAAACGTACCCTCTGACTCTGCACGATATCAGGTGTTGAAGGAGGGTGACTGTTATCTTCTTCTTCTCCCCACCAAGTAGGCTGACCATACAATGCACTTCCCTTAGGTCCCTTATCTGAGAGGAGAGGGAGGGGTTAAACAGTGGTTACTAGTGTGGTAACTAGTGTGGTTACTAGTGTGGTTACTAGTTTGGTAACTAGTGTGGCTACTAGTGTGGTTACTAGTATGGCTAATTGAGGAATGAGGGGTGTTGTATTTGTATATGATGCAATGCTTGATTTCTGAAATATCTGTATAAAATATTTAAACAACTTCTGACCAACCGTGTTGATATTTGCTTTTAATACGAGAGTAAGTTTAAACTATCAATAATCTGAAATGATAGGCAATGTTTTTAAAATAGTTAGGGAAAGTGTTAAGTCATGCTCATCAAAGAATGGCTCGACAGTGGGGAATTACGAATGAGAGAAGAAAAAAAGGAAACGTCGAGACAATAAAAGAGATAAGAATCAAAGTTGTGTGTATTAGGTCATGCTGAGATAGGCAGATAGGTCGTTATGTGCTGACTGTAACAATCTTAGGGCTCTAATCACACATACCTTCGAGTGCACAAAATCACACCTGAAATGCCTGAAATCACACTGTTCACTCACACGAATCGATCATTGTATCATATTTATTCTTGATGCGCGCCTGCGACTTCTTGAAGGCCTTTGACTTTGAGCTGAATCTAGTCAGTTCGGAGAGATCTCCTAACACGAGTGCAGGTTCTTTAGGTCGGGATTTCTTTTTTATCGGGGTCATGTCCATATCAGACCCGTCAATTACAAACGCAAACGCTTTAGGCTCTGGGAGTGGTTCAAACAACTCCTCATCAGGTAAACCTTCTCTGTCTTCAGATGAATCCTCCTCATCAGGTAAACCTTCTCTGTCTTCAGATGAATCCTCCTCGTCTTCAGGACAAAGCTCCTCATTTTCAGAAGAGTGCTCCTCGTTTTCAGGGGAGTACTCCTCGTTTTCAGAAGAGTGCTCCTCGTTTTCAGGGGAGTACTCCTCGTTTTCAGGAGAGTGCTCCTCGTTTTCAGAAGAGTGCTCCTCGTTTTCAGGAGAGTGCTCCTCGTTTTCAGGAGAGTGCTCCTCGTTTTCAGAGGAGTGCTCCTCGTTTTCAGGGGAGTGCTCCTCGTTTTCAGGAGAGTGCTCCTCGTTTTCAGGAGAGTGCTCCTCGTTTTCAGGAGAGTGCTCCTCGTTTTTAGGAGAGTGCTCCTCAGTGTCTGATAAACACAGACTCTGCAAAAGTTGTTCATCCTCAGGATCAGTGTCAAGTAAACCAGGAGAGGAACTACTTCTCTCCGACAGGATCTCCCACATTACCGGGGATTGTTTAAACGGTGAGGCTTGCAGGCTCTCACGTGACTTCTGTAAACTATCACGTGATCCCCGTCTGCCTTCACGTGACTTGTGGGGGCTCTCACGTGACTTGTGGGGACTCTCACGTGACTTGTGGGGACTCTCACGTGACTTGTGGGGACTCTCACGTGACTTGTGGGGGCTCTCACGTGACTTGTGGGGACTCTCACGTGACTTGTGGGGGCTCTCACGTGACTTGTGGGGGCTCTCACGTGACTTATGGGGACTCTCACGTGACTTATGGGGACTCTCACGTGACTGTGATATGCTATCACGTGATCCCCGTCTGCCTTCACGTGACTTGTTCACATTATCACGTGACTTTGCAGAAGGTTTAAGAGAGGGGTCTAAGAGAGCGTTATCAGAGGAGGTACGACGGTGAGTCTTCAGATGGGTTGTGGTGGACTTCACTTCCACACTGGCAGAGGAGACGCGGCGCGAGCGCGGCGGGGAGTTTAGTAGATGGGGCGTCACTGGGAGGGTACAAATAGTAGTGTTACCATGGTAACTAGTAGTGTTACAAGAGTCATTGCAATTTATTATCGTTCTGGTTAGGGGGGTAGGGGGTTACAAGAGTCATTACAATTTATTATCGTTCTGGTTAGGGGGTAGGGGGTTACAAGAGTCATTACAATTTATTATCGTTCTGGTTAGGGGGGTAGGGGGTTACAAGAGTCATTACAATTTATTATCGTTCTGGTTAGGGGGGTAGGGGGTTACAAGAGTCATTACAATTTATTATCGTTCTGGTTAGGGGGGTAGGGGGTTACAAGAGTCATTACAATTTATTATCGTTCTGGTTAGGGGGGTAGGGGGTTACAAGAGTCATTGCAATTTATTATCGTTCTGGTTAGGGGGGTAGGGGGTTACAAGAGTCATTACAATTTATTATCGTTCTGGTTAGGGGGGTAGGGGGTTACAAGAGTCATTACAATTTATTATCGTTCTGGTTAGGGGGTAGGGGGGTACAAGAGTCATTACAATTTATTATCGTTCTGGTTAGGGGGGTAGGGGGTTACAAGAGTCATTACAATTTATTATCGTTCTGTTTTATGGTATTTTTAACTCTCCACTTCCTATTATATATAAGAAATTAATACCACTACTAGAAATGTATGTGATCATGTTTAAGCAAAGAGAAAGTGCACTCGAGGAAGTAAAAGCGAAGAAAAGGTCTTCATTTCTTGGAGTTTACCCGCAGAATAACCTTTCACATATTATAACCATCTCTGGAGTACCGAAGTTATGTGTAAATAAAGATCTAATACTCAGATTCAATTAACAATAAGGCTCCACTCTATCAAACCCGCTCACATTTGATTACCTGACTTAACCTCATTTCCTGGTCCACTTTCTTATCCAGCTAGAAAATAACATCTCAGTATCTTGTTTAAACTATTTAAACTAGAACTACTAGAATTTAAAGCTATTTAAAGGTCTTATCTTGGGTACCACATATTATCATGTTGTTATAAAACTCTCTCATTAGATTCCTCATGCAGCAATTATCTGATTGACTGTACAAAATCCTTGACGGTATGGAAAATATAGGGTGAAGAATGTTGAGTTTATTACAGTTCATCTACACTCTACAGTGTAGATTCTACACAGCCTACACGCTACAACTCAAGAATCTTGACTGATAGAATTACTCCGAACATTTGATTTACAGTTTACCCGGACAGGTATCATCATTAACAGCCATTATTAAGTTAACAGTCATTATCAGGTTAACAGCCATTATTAAGTTAACAGTCATTATTAAGTTTAAAGTTTAAAGTTAAAAGGATGAAAGAAAGCACGTACTTCTTATAGGTCTTTTGTTATCTGGTCTGCTTGCAGAACTGAAACAGGGAATTATATGTTAGATAACAAACAGCCGATTAACGTTATATTTATGTTAACATTATTATATTATATACAATATAATAATGTTTATACAATATACCATATCATATTACATTGGTGGGACAATAACATTAATTCATGACTTGAGACTGGACATCTGACAGTGGTAAGATAATATAAGTCATGTATTTGATGATCTGGCTCAATAATAATATATTTAACCACGGTATAATACCTCAAGACAGCAGATTAAGTCAACATGTGATTACAACATGTGATTACAACATGTGATTACAACATGTGATTACAACATGTGATTACAACATGTGATTACAACATGTGATTACAACATTATTATAGTCAGCACAGAACCCCCACTATTATAGTCAGCACAATACGCCCCCCCCCCCTATTATAGTCAGCACAGTACCCCCCTCCCCCCCACTATTATAGTCAGCACAGATACCCCCCCCCCCCCCTATTATAGTCAGCACAGTACCCCCTCCCCCCCACTATTATAGTCAGCACAGAACCCCCCCCCCCCCCCACTATTATAGTCAGCACAGAACCCCCACTATTATAGTCAGCACAATACGCCCCCCCCCCACTATTATAGTCAGCACAGTACCCCCCTCTCCCCACTATTATATAGTCAGCACAATACGCCCCCCCCACTATTATAGTCAGCACAGAACCCCCCCCCCCCCACTATTATAGTCAGCACAGAACCCCCCCCCCCCCCCCCCCCCCCCCACTATTATAGTCAGCACAGAACCCCCATTATTATATAGTCAGCACAATACGCCCCCCCCCCCACTATTATAGTCAGCACAGTACCCCCCTCCCCCCCACTATTATATAGTCAGCACAATACGCCCCCCCCCCACTATTATAGTCAGCACAGTACCCCCCCCCCCCCCACTATTATAGTCAGCACAGAACCCCCCCCCCCACTATTATAGTCAGCACAGAACCCCCCCCCCCCCACCCCCCACTATTATAGTCAGCACAGAACCCCCATTATTATAGTCAGCACAGTACCCCCCTCCCCCCCACTATTATAGTCAGCACAGTACCCCCCTCCCCCCCACTATTATAGTCAGCACAGAATCCCCACCCCCACTATTATAGTCAGCACAGTACCCCCCACTATTATAGTCAGCACAGTACCCCCTCCCCCCCCACTATTATAGTCAGCACAATACGCCCTCCCCCCCACTATTATATATAGTCAGCACAGAACCCCCCACTATTATAGTCAGCACAGAACCCCCCCCCCACTATTATAGTCAGCACAGTACCCCCCCCCCCCCACTATTATAGTCAGCACAGTACCCCCCACTATTATAGTCAGCACAGAACCCCCCCCCACTATTATAGTCAGCACAATCCCCCCCCCCCCCCCCCTATTATAGTCAGCACAGTACCCCCACTATTATAGTCAGCACAGTACCCCCTCTCCCCCACTATTATAGTCAGCACAGTACCCCCACTATTATAGTCAGCACAGTACCCCCTCCCCCCCACTATTATAGTCAGCACAGAACCCTCCCCCCACTATTATAGTCAGCACAGTACCCCCCCCCCCCCACTATTATAGTCAGCACAGTACCCCCCCCCCCCCCCCACTATAATAGTCAGCACAGTACCCCCCTCCCCCCACTATTATAGTCAGCACAGTACCCCCCCCCCCCCCCCCCCCACTATTATAGTCAGCACAGAACCCCCTCCCCCCCACTATTATAGTCAGCACAGTACCGTAACACTCTAGTAGATATAATAATCATGATCTGTCACATTGGCTTGTCAGATATTACACTCTGCACTAATTCTCTACTATACGCACTGTACTTCTCCACTATACATGATACTGCTCTCCACTATACATACTGCTCTACTACAAAATACACTTCTGTACCATATTCCACAAACCTGGGGGTAGATGCCCTGTTGTTCCTCAGATCGTCAATACTGGTTCTAGACATGGAGAGATCACGTGATGCGCGCAGTAGTGGAGACTCATCCCGCAGATCAGGAGGCTCGTAAGAGGTTATCTTAGTTGCAGGCGCACGTGGAGCATGCTGAAATAGTGTGGTTACTAGTGTGGTTACTGTGGTTACTGTGGTTACTATAGAAACAAGGTGTGGTTATCTTAGTTGCAGGCGCACGTGGAGCATGCTGAAATAGTGTGGTTACTAGTGTGGTTACTGTGGTTACTGTGGTTACTATAGAAACAAGGTGAGGTTATCTTAGTTGCAGGCGCACGTGGAGCATGCTGAAATAGTGTGGTTACTAGTGTGGTTACTGTGGTTACTGTGGTTACTATAGAAACAAGGTGAGGTTATCTTAGTTGCAGGCGCACGTGGAGCATGCTGAAATAGTGTGGTTACTAGTGTGGTTACTGTGGTTACTATAGAAACAAGGTGAGGTTATCTTAGTTGCAGGCGCACGTGGAGCATGCTGAAATAGTGTGGTTACTAGTGTGGTTACTGTGGTTACTGTGGTTACTATAGAAACAAGGTGAGGTTATCTTAGTTGCAGGCGCACGTGGAGCATGCTGAAATAGTGTGGTTACTAGTGTGGTTACTAGTGTGGTAACTAGTGTGGTTAGGGTTACTAGTGGAGCATGCTGAAATAGAAACAAGGTCAAATTATTGTAATCGCAACCGTTCTAGCGTCAACCTTTTTTGAATTCAAGTTTTATTCTTTACAAAATAATCTTAATGCTGGCTGAATAATTTTAGTTAGAATAGATTAAAATATTCTGAATTATCACGACAAATTCCAATCTTCAGTACAAATTAGAACATTTTCTTTCAATCGTCAACATAGTGTCATTTCTTACAAGTTTTAACAGCCTCAATAGAGCAATAGGTAGGTCAGCACAGTACCCCCCCCCCCACTATAGGTAGGTCAGCACAGTACCCCCCCCCACTATAGGTAGGTCAGCACAGTACCCCCCCCCCCCACTATAGGTAGGTCAGTACTGCCCCCCCCCCCCCACTATAGGTAGGTCAGCACTGCCCCCCCCCCCCCCACTATAGGTAGGTCAGCACAGTACCCCCCCCCCCCACTATAGGTAGGTCAGCACAGTATCCCCCCCCCCACTATAGGTAGGTCAGCACAGTACCCCCCCCCCCCACTATAGGTAGGTCAGCACAGTATCCCCCCACTATAGGTAGGTCAGCACAGTACCCCCCCCCCCACTATAGGTAGGTCAGCACAGTACCCCCCCCACTATAGGTAGGTCAGCACAGTACCCCCCCCCCCCCCCCCACTAATCACTATAGGTAGGTCAGCACAGTACCCCCCCCCCCCAATATAGGAAGGTCAGCACAGTATCCCCCCCCCCCACTATAGGTAGGTCAGCACAGTATCCCCCCCCCCACTATAGGTGGGTCAGCACAGTATCCCCCCCCCACTATAGGTAGGTCAGCACAGTACCCCCCGCCCCCCCCCAATATAGGTAGGTCAGCACAGTACCCCCCCCCCCCCAATATAGGTAGGTCAGCACAGTATCCCCCCCCCCCCCAATATAGGTAGGTCAGCACAGTATCCCCCCCCCCCCCCCACTATAGGTAGGTCAGCACAGTATCCCCCCCCCCCCACTATAGGTAGGTCAGCACTGTACCCCCCCCCCCTAGTCCCCCCCCCCCCCCCCCCACTATAGCTTAGGTAGGTCAGCACAGTATCCCCCCCCCCACTATAGGTAGGTCAGCACAGTACCCCCCCCCCCCCCCCCCAATATAGGTAGGTAGTCTTATCTAATCACTTTATTCCAAGAACTGTATACCTTGATTTGTTTATGCTATTATTATGTTTTTATATATTATAATATGTTCTGATACATTATAATATTATTATGTTTTTATATTATATTATAATAATGCTGCTCTGTAACCATTGTTATTATTACAACCTTGCACCACGTTGCAGATATTATGAAGGTTTGTATTTATTGATCACATTTAATGTGCCCTGAGTGACCTAGTAATGTAATTATAATGTGATTTTAATGTAATAAAGTTGATTACTGTACTGTGTCTTATTACTATTAGCGGCTGTCTTCAGTCCAGGTAAGCGTGCCATTTCTTGTATGACACTACGTACTAATATTTTAGTTCTATTTTAAGTTTTAACAATGGAATTATCTAAAATTATATTTTTATGATGTTGATGAATGATCTCCCTTACACAGTTTGTAAGCGAATTATTGTTATAAATAGCCAACTTATATGTAGGGTACTTACTCTGACTAGTATTATCCAACGGTTACTTTAAATTTATTATTAATGTGTTGTAGGAAGCTTATATTACAATTACTGAGGTAACGAAACAATTTAATTTCACGATATTTTGTAAAAGACACTTCCCTCTGGCAGAAGAAAACCTTATCACATACATACTATATATTTATATACTACATTACATAGCTGTGTACGTCATTCCATGTAATCTGTCTAAAGAGTTATTATTATTTTCACTTCATGACGTAAGTGGTCGCCAGTCGAGTGTTATTTTGATTACAGTTAACTTAACACTGACCTTAAACTAAAAATGAACCACACCAGCATCATTATGATAATATTAGTCTGATATGTTTCGCACGTCGCACACAGCATCCCAGTTATGCATACAGCATCTCAGTTATGCACATAATATACCAGACAACATATTATTATCGTCTGTTTTTTAATGGTTATCAGACTTGTAACACATCAACATTTTCACATTGGAAGGTAAACTATTCAAAGTATTTAACGTTTAGGCAGACACTATGCTTGCATGTTGCACAGGAGTAAATTTACGCTGTGTTTATAAAGGAGTATTTAAGCTGTGTTTATTGGCTGACACTAATGATTAACTTATTAGTGTGCTTCCACGACTAACGTGATATTAACAACTGTTCCCGACTTTAAATAAAGCTAACACATGTCATTTTACTCTACAATTAATGTTCCTAACTTTTATAAAGTTAAAATAAACGTAAAACTGAACTCGGTTATAAGGATAATGTTATAAGAGAGAGCTGGTTTCCTAATACAGAGAGTAGTAATGAGAGAAAAGTGCAGTTTTATTTAGCATATAATATCAATAAGCAGGACACTCAAGCAGCGCTATCCACAAGCAGGCACTTAACCTCGTGAACACTATGCTTACTAGGAACTTTGTGAGCTGTACAATTAGAATACAGAGAAATTATTCTCGAGGGAATTAGAATTAGATATGGAATCTGGATTAAAATTAGAATTAGAATAAAATGAATAAGAAATAATTAAAGAAAATTTAGAATAATCTTTAATAAGTGTGTTGAAAATTGATGCACTTCGCACGGGTTATCTTGACGGAAATTCTTAGTAAGAAGAAGAATCTCACATGATAGTGAATAAGATTTAAGTAATGAATTTTCAGCTACCAAACAAATTTGCAATTAAATCGAACCTTTAATTGCGGGGAGGGTGCTATGGGAGTTACAACGAAGGGTTTGTTGTTTGAGACTACTGTCTGGTTCTGAGTCCGTTCTGGCCAGTCTTCCGACTCTTCTTTCTGAAATATTTTGTATATATTATATTGTATGATACAATTATGTGAAGTTTTCAAAAACACAAACCTGATGAGGATGGAGCATACCGGCACCATCCACATTGTTCTGATCTGCAAAAATTGATTTGGTTCCGCCCAGCAGTTCTTAGATGGAAGTGCTTCTTTGCAAATATTTCAAAATCTACTAACCTCAATATCATGAACTGTTGAGAGAGTTTTTCGAGGTGAAATAATCTCCTTTTCTTTTTCTTTCACTTCAACTCGAAAAGTTGGAGAATCTGCCCCAAACCGTATGGTGTCTCCCAGCGTTATTACAATAGTTCTTACACCAATTCGAGAATCATTAACAAACGTCTGTTAGGAATATATTATAGAAGTGTTAGCTTTCCCCCCCCCCCCCCCCCCCCCCCCCAGCTTTTACAATCAACGCCTAACATCTAAGATTATACTTTGTTACATGAGGCTTTATGTAGACATCAATTCCAAATCTACAGTAAGGGGGTCATATAAAGTTCAATCATCATTGAAATTGAAATATTGAAATTGAAATATGAAAATTATCAAAATATAAATACCCCCAATGAAAAGGGTGCCTCTTTGATTTTGTAGTTCTGCTTTCTAGGATCCCAAGCGATGACTGCGTGATGTTTACTTACACTTCGAAACTGAAAAATGGCTCACTGAACAAACAATATTGTATGTAATAAAATAGAAATTTTACTTTCTTCATTAGATTATCTTGAGGATTATAACTGTTATGTATTCAATAAAATAATCATCACTTTTGTATCCCTGTGCGGTTGCTTACTGTTAAGTAAGAGCAAGTTAATGTATAAATGATTAAATCATAACAGAATAAAATGGAAAGTTACTGGTATGTAACAAAATAAAATCAAAAGTTACTGGTATGAGACAGTCTGAGTCCTCCTTTCCAAATGTTGTGGTAACATTGCTTAGCTCAAAAGAACAGTTCCATGATTTAAGTATCCAGCCTGGAGGTTCCACCTCTGCAGGCATCCTAGTTATGATAATATTGCTAGTTACTATGGTTACCTAGTTAATATTACTAGACTAACTATAGTTATGGTAATATTGCTAGAGACGAATTATAGTTTTTTAAACTTTGATTTTCCGGCCCTTTTTGCCGGAATAAGCAAGGTAAAGTAGAGTAAAGTAAAATTTATGACATCAAATCATCACACATGTCTACAAAATATCATTGCACTATGTGAAAAAATATAAAACAAATATTTCCCCACCAACATTAATTATTTATAAAATACAATAGTTAAAAAATTTATCAATCAGTATCCTATTTTAAAAACCTAATCAAACTTTCCAGTGGAATAAAGATTTATAAATAGGATAAAGTTTGATAAATTTTTAAACTTATTAGTATGTCAGAATCTGAAGTGGCCTCTGCCATCAAAAATCTCAAAAAAGGTAAAAGTTGCTCAAACGACTTGATATCCAACGAGATGCTTCAGAGCCTAACTCCACTTTGTCACAAAGCCATCCTCAAAAACTTCAACCACTCACTGGTCTCCGGTTACTATCCATGGCACTGAGGACGAAATTCATGTTCTAACTGACTGTTTACTCTACTCCTCAGTTAGAGAAAAATTTAACTTCCACCCCAAAAAATATTACTGACCTAGCCGGTTTGCTATCCGATAAAACACTAGACCCTACTAAATTTACTGCCACAGCAAGAGCAATCCATTCAATTCTCTCTGTGAACGAACATTTTACAGGCTACTATAAGAGCCCAGATTTCCACCCAAATACTGGCCAATGCATAATGCTATACCTCCAAACACTTGTCTTATGTTCTGACAGTAATTCCAATCAAAAAGGTAGTGTCAGCCCCCCTAACCTGTCTAATGAACTCAACACTATGGACAAGAGACTTGAAAAGTTAGAGGATATAATGAGCAGCATAAAGCAATTGAGGATGCAAAATCAGTCATCGATAAACTCCTCTCGAGCTCCAGTGCAAAGGTTGTCATCTCCCTACCCACCCCAACCCCTGGATTAATCAGTGAACTTACCAACCAATTTGTCTCAGAAATAACCCAATTTGTCTCAGCTAAAAGAGGGTTTTAAGTGACTTTTACCGCCGCCTATATACTGTAAACAATACTGGAAACTTTTCCCGTGCCATCTCTGCTGCTGAGTCATCCCAAGACTCTCCTAACCCGTTGAAGGAGGACCAACTTCATGTCTCAGAGTATGGTTTGAAAAAACTTTGTTTGAATATTAAACTTGGCCTATACCGTGCCTTTGGTATGAGATCCCATAGAAAGCAGCCCCCTACAGAGCGTTAGATTAACCCTAAAATTCAAGAAAAAACAAGTATCACGAGATCAAGTCGCTGTGATGTCCTGGAACATCCAGGACAGCACAGGAGACGGGTCTAACAAATTTGAAAATAGCGAATTTTTGTCAATCCTCAAACAAGCTAACATTCTTTGTCTTCAAGAAACAAAGAAGCAAGTTAAGATTGAAGGATACCTCTCTTTTAATAGCAACCGCAAAAATTCACGCTCAGGAGGGGTCTGCATTCTTGCTGAAAATGACCTAAGAAAAGGTGTCTCTAGTGTGCTTTGTAATGAATCTGATGACATTATTGTTGTTAAACTGGACAAGAACTTTTTTAAACTTGATTTTGACCTATTTTTGGTATGTTATTATATTAGCCCTGCATACTCGTCCTATGTCAAGAAGAATCCAGATTATACTGCTAATACCTTCTCTGCTCTTGACTCTATCTGTATCAGACTACGTCAAAAGGGAGAAGTTATTATGTGTGGCGATGCAAATGCAAGAACTGGAAAACTCCCAGACTATATCCTTTCCTGTAATGCACCTGCCATCCATGACATCTATAACGACATTGGACTCGAGCACGACATAGAAGAACCAAGAAACAATTCTGACCTTACAATATCTGAACCCCACTGCCAACACTTCCTTGACATGGTTATCAATAACCAACTCAAAATTCTTAATGGTCGTACCCTTGGGGACACCACTGGAAAAATGACCTGTCACAAATACAATGGAAGCAGTGTGGTTGACTATTTTGTAATCACCTCATGGGCAAGAGATCATGTAAACTCTCTCCAAGTAAAAGAGTTTACATCATACTCTGATCATTGTCCATTAGTCTTGAAACTCACTACATTTGAACCATTTGTCGCAAACTTCCAGCTCCCAGACTTTTCTAACTTTCCTTGTGGCTAGAAGTGGGACAGCAACACCTCCCATTCACTATTTAAAAAAGCCCTTACCTCGCCCGAAATTATCAACAATCTGGAAAGCATTGTGACAAATGAATTTAGCAGTACTCTGGAGGGCAATCACGAACTGAACGATGCAGTCATAAAATGTCTCCACAGTTTGTTTTGTTTGGGGACTGGTTTGTAAGCCAGCCAATGTTTACGAATATAATATTAATAACTTTATTACATAATCATAAATATATATCATAAATAGATCAAATCTGAAACACAAATTTGCACGCAGTTAATAAATTTATAAAAAAAAGAAAATGAAAAAAAAGGTTTATTGCTAAAACAAAATATGGAGCACTCTAGTGCTTCCAACAGCCCTTCAGACTCGCGCTAAGTTTGTTAGGGACTGATTGAGGATATCGTAGATATTGCTATGCCATGCCATTAGTTTGGATATGTAGTGTTTGTGATTGTTGAAATCAATTAATTACGGTTTGTGCTGATAGGAAAATAGTGATAGTGGGGAATGTGGCAGTGTAAATATGGACCTGGAATTTAGGATGTGTGGCTTATCCATTAATATTAGTTGCCGCTAGTCTGTGATCAGTTTGTTCTGGTTTTTTTGTGTGCAAATATATATTCATAGTTTATTTTTGTAATATCATATAATATATAGTACTTAATAATAACCATATGACTAATAACTGATTTACTAAATAACTAATTAACTAATTCACTAAACTGATATAATGACCGTTGTGTCCAGTAACTTTCAGACACGTTGTGACCTTCTTAGACCTGGAATATTATGTAATAAGAAACTGGGCCACGTGTCATCGTCATTTTCACTCTGCAGGTTCAAGAGCATGCGTTTTGTAGCCGATTTAAAAAGGTTTATGGAAAAAAGTGTGGGTAGGGTGCTTACATTTGCATTTACAGCATAAATTGAGAGTAAAGGTCCTTTGAAGAACATCGAAGATCTGAAATGTGTGGTGTTGTACTCGGCTAACCAGGATGCTGCAGTCACGTGATCTGAGTTTGCAGTGGGTGCATTTTCTGGGATAGTCATACAGATTTGTTGAGGGACTGAGCTGCGGAAATGTTTGATTCGGTGCATGAGAATTAGTGTGTTTTTTACAATAACACTGTGCACCGTGAGTATACCATTGTTATTGAAAAATTGTTTTGTGTGTTCTGGCAGTCGACCGTCTTTGTAAAAGTAATTAATGTGACCTGGCATTACTGCCCTGATACCCTGTTTTTGTCGTGAGAAGAGTGATTCAATGTGATTTTTTGCTGCAAACCCCCATACAATTGAACAGAAGTTTAAATGCGATTGAACAAAACTTTGATATATCTGTAGCCTTATTTGAATCGATAGGTGACGTTTTATTTTATACATAATTCCTACATACCGCATCATTTTTGATCTAACAGCTGCTATATGCTTAGACCATGTTAGTTTATCATCCATTATAACGCCAAGGAACCGTGCTTCCCTTTTACGTTCTAATTGTGTGTCTGCAATATGAATATTTGGAGTATTATCAGTATTTCTAACACCGAAAAGCATATAGCAGGTCTTTTTTAGATTAAGTGCAAGTCCATTACAGTCAACCCAGCGTACAAACTCGTGGGAGAATTGGTTGAATTTTTGTATAACATCGTTTGCATTTTTGCAAACGATGTTATACTGCTGATATAGCCTTAAAAGTGAAAAAGTCTCCCAAAAATTCTGCCCGTAAAAAATGGTTCGACCCACAAGTCAACTCCTCGCGGCGGAACCTTAATAGGCTAGCAAATCGGCTTGGTAGTAAGCACTGTAACAGTATCCTCAGACTAGAATATTTTAAGCAACGCAACAAGCATAGCAATTTTGTAAACAGTAAGAAAGTAGCTTTTCTTAAGAAGTTAAATGAAGCTATAGAAGAAGGTCACATACTCGACTGGAAAAAATTTAAACGGCTTAAACAAGAACATGACACTAGCCCCTTACTTGACAAATTTGATTTAGCTAGCTTCCATGACTTCTTTGCATCCCTTTATAAAAAACCAGACCAGGAGCCAGATCTCACTCACCACAATCACAAACATTACCCTGAACCACCAGATCTGGATATCCTAAATAAGCTCATGTCAGAATCTGAAGTGACCTCTGTAGTCCGAGACGAAACGGAATCTCGTTAGCTTTTCGTGTTAAAAGCGATTTCTCGACGGTTATCACCTCTCTAGATGATTCTTAAAACATTTGGAGTTCATGGCAAGATTGAAATACATGCAATGAGGGCGTTTTCGGCCACACCCTTTTTCAGGGTTTCGCGGTCACTCGAATTATTGTATTTCAACCCAGGAAGGTCTTAAAGACTATTCCGATACACCAAAATGTGCCTTAAATAGCCACATTTATCTACAACTTATGAAGCAACATATACCTTAAAATGCTTTGTTTCGGAAATATGGCCGAAAAACGGTTTTTGGCTTGACGCAGTTCATAATTTCCGTGATTTTTGGCATTTCCGCCTAGGAAGGTCGTAGAGACTATTCTGATACACCAAAATGTGCCTAATAGCCACATTTATATACAACTTATGAAGCAACATATACCCTAAAAGGCTTATTTTCGGAAATGTGGCTGAAAAACGGATTTTTGTCGAGCAAACTATGACAATATTTACAAATGGGCTATTGGACTGTTAACTAGAAAGGTCTTAAAGACTCATGAGCAACACAGCATTTGTCACAAGATGTAAGATGACTCACTTTGTGTCCAGAAACACCTACAAAAATTGGAGAATGATCTACTTTATTGGGCATCTCTTTTAATGGGCCAGGCCAGCAGCATATTTGTGTCTTACGAAATGGCAATTTTTCAAAATTACGGTTTCTTTGTAAGAGGTCAATGGGTCAGTTGCAAACAGCAAATTGTTCGCAATTG